TCCGTCCCGTGGACAGGAGCACAGAGCGGACTGACTTCCTTCTCTTTCAGAACCGAGGTGTGTACATGTTCCGCATGGACAACGACCACGTGATCGACGCCACGCTCACGGGAGGGCCTGCGAGGTGAGAGTCGTGTGCAGCCTTTCAGTGGTGGAAGTCCAGGGCAGACGAGTGTTGGAAAGAATTTCCATTTAAAATTGTGTGTTTGTTCTTGTTCTGTAGTAATAGAATCAGGAAGGAGTGGTTCTCCCTGTGACCTGGAAGGGTTTTAAAGCTTCTTGCAGTTTTAGAATAAATCGCTTTCTGAAACGGTGGCTCGCAGGTACATCAACCATTCGTGTGCACCGAACTGTGTGGCTGAAGTGGTGACCTTTGAGCGAGGACACAAGATTATCATCAGCTCCAGTCGGAGGATCCAGAAGGGAGAAGAGGTGAGAGCGGGGCCCATCTGTGGTCATGTCCCTGCGTCGGGGAGCTGCAGGGCGCAGACGGTCTGTATTGCTGGAGGATCCTGTATCCTCCAGGCAGGGCAGAATCTGCCACCTCCTGCGTCCTTCATTCCTCACTTTCCCGTCCCTGCGTCCCTCTGGACCCCTCGCCCTGCCAGTTTGGCACAGTGCCCCCCCCTCTTTAAAAATGAAGCCTGTCATCGTGCTGATGGTTGAAGACTTCCCAGGGTCTGTGCCCTTGTGCTCTCCGGGAACACGCTGGCTCTCGGGAGATCACTGTGAGGCTGTCGGCCACAAGCTTGGGGGTGACTGGGGCTCCACGTTGCTCATAAGCACACTTAGGACTACTACACGCTGACGGGTTTTTTCCATGAATAGATTTGCAAACAGTTTGGCTATTTTTTGTCTTTGGCCCAACGAAGTACTGTGGTTTGCCCAGCCCCCGTTAGGGTTATCACCCAGCTGGCTCTGTCACAGCCTTGTTTACGGTCCCCGACTTGGTCTGCCAGACGTGGTCAGCTCAGGCTGCAAGGTGCACTGGAGTGCTTGGGGCCTGGCCCGGGTGTGGGGTTGGTGTGTCTTGGAAGGCACCTGCCTGGGGAACCCTCCTATTTAGGGAATGAGGAGCTTCGGGGTCTTTACTTAGTTGGATCCCCCAGCCCCACATGAACAGAGCTGTGGAATTATACTTGTTTTTTGGTTATCTTTTTGGAATATGCTTTTTTAAAATCAAGAATTGAGCCCAGACCCATTTTGTACATGTCAGTAACCTGATGAGTAAGGGTATGTGAGGACCCCTCTGTGGCATGTGACCACTGGGCGGGTGTCTGGGCATTGGGACAGGTGGCGGCCCGACCAGCACCAGGCCCTGCTGCCCTCTCTGCCTGAGCATTCTTGGCTAGCTGGCTTAACCTCTCTGAGCCTCTGCTCTGTTGTGTGTCGAGCGGAGCTCTCCTAGGTCAGCGAAACCGTCCCAGGCAGTGGTATCATGCCAAGGAGAAGCCACGCAGTAGATAGTGTGTTTATTCCCCCTCGGGGTCGAAAGGAAGTCTTTCCAAATAGTGTCCTTGGATGTTTGAATCAGAAGGGTCTTGCGGTATCAGCTCTCTCAGGAGTCGGGGTCCAGGGTGGGGCTTACCCCACGGGAATCGTGCAGGCCCCCACCCACCTTGACAGCAGGGTTGGTCTGAGACAATAATGTTAAATAGCGACGTCTTGTAAATATTCTTTAAGTGAGGAAAGATGGAGGAAGATGTTTGCTGGCCAGGAGGTTTGTCTCTGCGAATCTGCCTGCCCCATCAGGGAGCGAGGAGGGGCCGGGGGGGCCTGCGGGGACAGTGCTGTGTGGAGCTGTAGGAATGCAGCCGCCTGCCTGTCTCTGAGCTGGCTTGGCCTAAAAAGAGCGCCTCTGGTCTCCCCTGTCCCTTTGGGGCCCTCAGGAAAAGCACAGCCACACGATCTCTTGACTTTTTCTGAAGTTCCCCGTCTCCCCACCCCGGTCCCAGGGCGCCCTGTCAGTGAGGTCTTCAGTTCAGCTCCGTCTCTCGGTGGCTGGGTGTGAGTAGCTGCCAGGCGGGCAGGGGCAGGGGCCTTCCTTACACTGTGTCTTTGCCGTGGGCAGCTTTGCTATGACTATAAGTTTGACTTTGAGGACGACCAGCACAAGATCCCCTGTCACTGCGGAGCCGTGAACTGCCGGAAGTGGATGAACTGAGCACCCCTTGCTGTCGAGGGCGGCTCGTCCCTGGGAAGAAGCGATTCAACACACCGTTTGAATTTCGCAGACAGAAAGATGTTTTTGTTTTCTGTTTTATGACTTTTGAAAACTAGCTTCTGGGAGTTCTGAGTTCCTCAGTCCTTCAGGGTGAAGGAGCACAGGAGAAAGCCGATGGAGGCAGCCTTCCTGAAGTTGCTGAGGTGAACCGGAATTACAGAATGGTCCAGCACTTTTTTGGTGAACCGGAATTACAGAATGGTCCAGCACTTTTTTTTCTTTTACTTTCTTTCTTTTTTCTTCTTGTGGGTGGGTTTTGTTTTGTTTTGTTTTTTTAGTCTCACTAAGGAGAAACTTTTACTGGGGCAAAGAGCCGATGGCTGCCCTGCCCCAGGGCAGGGGCCTTCCTATGAATGTAAGACTGAAATCACCAGCGAAAGGGAGATGTCCAAAGTGCTGGCCACGGCCTTATTTGAAAAAGGGGCAGGCCCTCTAATTTAAAAATTTTTTTAAATAAAGTAGACACCACTGAACAAGGAATGTACTGAAATGACTTCCTTAGGGATAGGGCTAAGGGATAATAACTTGCACTAAAATACATTTAAATACTTGATTCCATGAGTCAGTTTATTGTAGTTTTTGATTTCTGTAAAATAAGAGAAACTTTTTGTATTTATTATTGAATAAGTGAATGAAGCTATTTTTAAATAAAAGTTAGAAGAAAGCCAAGCTGCTGCTGTTACCTGCAGAACTAACGAACCCTGTTACTTTGTACAAATATGTAAATATTTTGAGAAAAAATACAGTATAAAAATAGTTATTGACCAAATGCTACCAGGCTCTGCAGCAGCTCGGGTGCTTATAAAACGTGCATAGGGATGTCACAGTATGACGCCATGTTATTAAACATGCCATTACAATTATGTAACAACCAAAATTTCCACCTAGAGTGTTCGGGGTTTTTTGGAAACTACGATCTATTAGTACTGAGTTGTTTTATACACCTTACTTCTGACAGAACGGAGTGTATGCTATGACTACAACTTTTATAGCCGTTTTGGTAATTTAAACAAATTTTTTCATATTATATTGTTGCATCCCTACTTCTTCAGTCAGGTTTTTTGTGCTTACAATTTGTGATAACTGTGAATAACTGCTTAAAAATACACCCCAATGGAGGCTGAATTTTTCTTCAGCAGAAGTAGTTTTGATTAGAACTTTTGTTTCAAGCCACAGAGAATCATGTAAACATACTAGGATCATGTAGCAGGAACTCAAATCTAGCTCTCGACCTTCTATTTAACACAAAAATTTGAAGAAAAAAAAAAGGAGCGATGTCATTGCTTGCGGCTGCAGGACCCCGGCAATAGGGTTTGGAAGATGTAATTTTAAAATGTGTTTGTATGAACTGTTTGTTTACATTTCTTTAATAAAAAAAAAAACACTGTTTTGTGTTTGCTTGTAGAAACTTAATCAGCATTTTGAACCAGGTTAGCTTTTTATTTTGTACTTAAAATTCTGGTACTGACACTTCACAGACTAAGTATAAAATGAAGTTTTTGTGTGCACAATTCAAGTGGACTGTAAGCTGTTGGCATATTCAGTGATGCAGTTCTGAACTTGTAATGTATATGGCATGATGTATTTTTATCTTACAGAATAAATCAATTGTATATATTTTTCTCTTGATAAATAGCTGTATGAAATTTGTTTCTTGAATATTTTTCTTCTCTTGTACAATATTCTGACATTCTACCAGTATTTGTCTTACCGGGTTTTTGTTTTGTTTTCTGTTCTGTATAATAGTATCTAATGTTGGCAAAAATTGAATTTTTTGAAGTATACAGAGTGTTATGGGTTTTGGAATTTGTGGACACAGATTTAGAAGATCACCATTTACAAATAAAATATTTTACATCTATAAAAGCTTGTGAGTCTCTGTTAGCACCACTCACGGTCCCTTTGGAGCTCTGAAATTCACCGCCAGGCTGGTCCACCCTTTCAGGATGACGGGCGCGTGGACGTGATCAACGTGGGTCTCTGCCTTTCCGGATAAAAGGTTTAGCTGTAAGTTCGTGACTCGTACCAGACAGAGGCTCTTCCTGCAGCTGAATAAAGAAGAGGACCTCAGATTCTTTTTAGGGTCTTTACCGGGGCCAATGGGGAAAATACTCTGACATCTAATTCCCTTGTTTGTCTGTTTTTATTTAATTGTTAAATTTAGTCCTTTTTTTTTCCCCCAAGCAGCTCTCCTAGACTTACTCTGTGATAGACTTTATTTCTCATATTGAATGTATTTAACTTTTAATGTAAGGGGGTTGCTGAGGATGAAACTGCTCAGAACCCCACTCACAATTCCTACAGCCCATCTTTAGCTTGTACTTCACAAACACGCTGAGACGACCAGCTTCTATTCCGCGTGTCTTTAGCATCTGAACAACTTTTAAATGCTGTTCTGAAACACTCCCATCTGAAGGTGTCGGCCGGGACTGGAGTGCGTTCACATCTGCATCGGGTCGTGGAGCTCTTGCTCCATGCAGCCTCTCCTCCTCAGACCTCACGCTTGATTACTCAGCGCCAGACACGCAAGGAAGAAAACTTCAAGTCATCGCAGAGCCTGAGGTCTGCTCCCTGCCAGACAGATGCCACCTCCTCGACCCACACCGAGGCCAGGAAGGGTGAGAAGGGCGGTCTGTGCTGGCCGTCAGATCTGCTGACCTGAACGTGGTCTCATGGGGAGAGGGGCCTGAGGAGAAGAATCTGAGGCCGTGAGTCTGGAGGAGGAAGTGTGGCTCATGTGGGTTTATTTTTGTTCCACCAACCAATTTTTTTTTTTTTAACTTAAGTACTGTCAGTTACAATGTGTCCATTTCTGGTGCACAGCACAGTGGCCCAGTCATGCATATGCATACCTATATTCCTTCTCATATTCTTTTTCATTAAAGGTTATTACAAGATACTGAACATAGTTCCCTGTGCTGCACAGAAGAAACTGACTGACTTCATTTAGTATGATCATCTCTAGGTCCATCCATGTTGGGGCAAATGGAATGGTTTCATTCTTTTTTTTTTTATTGAAACTCCTTAAATAGAGCTTGTGTCTTGAAGTTCTCTCAGCTTTAATTCACTGTCGTACTGGAGTCCTGTTGATGCTGGGGGGAGGGACTGAGGGAAAAGAAGCATCATCTTGGCGTAAAATCTCACTCTCAGTGAGTCTGTATCCCTGGGCTGTGAGCGTCACAATTTTTTTTTTCAGTTGAAGTACAGTTACAATGTGTCAATTTCTGGTGTACAGCACAATGTCCCAGTCATGCATATACATACATATATTCATTTCCATATTATTTTTCACTAAAGGTTATCACAAGATATTGAATATAGTTCCCTTTGCTATGCAGAAGAACCTATTTTCATACATAGTGGCTAACATTTGCAAACCTCCAACTCTCAAATTTATCCCTTCCCACCCCATTGCCCCCGGTAACCATAAAATTGTTTATTATACCTGCAAGTCTGTTTCTATTTTGTAGATGTGTTCATAGTGTCCTTTTTTCTTAGATTCCACATATGAGTGATATATGGTATTTTTCTTTCTCTTTCTGGCTTATTTAGAATAATGATCTCTAGGCCCATCTATGTTGCTGCAAATGGCATTATTTGATTCTTTTTATGGTTGAGTAGTATTCCATTGTATAAATATACTACAACTTCTGTATCCAGTTACACCAGTGAATTCTTTATAAGCCATGGTCACAGTCTTAAATTGGGATTTTGATGGAGTACAGCATTACATCTGTAGATCAAACTGCAGAGAATTAACACCCTAACAATACTGAGTTTTCTAATCCTGTAATATAATATAGTTCTCCACTTACTTAGGTTTTAACTTCTCTCAGCAATGTTTTGTGTTTCTTTGTACGGCTCTTAAACTTGAGTTCTCTTGCCTTGGATGCTGTTGTGGATTGCAGGTAGTGTCGTTACTTTCTGTTTTGAGCTGTTTGCTGCTGCTGTTTACAGGCACAGTTCATTTTTATATTGAGCTTTTTTACTTCGTGGTCCTGATAAACGTCCTTACCATGTCTAGTAGTAGTTTTGAAAACTCCCCGAGACCTTCTACACATAGTCTGCAAATGGTTCACTTCCTCTTTCCAATGTACATGCGCTTTCTTTCTTCTTGCCTGTGACTGGCTAAGGCTCTCACTACAAGCGCTGGACGTAAGCGGTAAGTACAGGCATCCTTGCTGTGTTCCTAATCCAGGGTCTTTTACGGTAGCATCTATAGTTTTTCCTTTCTCAAGTTGAAGAATTTTCCTTCTATTCCTCATTTGCTGAGTTTTTATTGGAAATGGGTGTTAAATTCTGTCACGTTTTCCCTGCAAGATCATAAGCCTTTTTGCTGTATTACTGTCATAATTAACATCTGTTCTCTAACATTAAAGCAACTTTCATTCCTGGGATAAAACCCACTTGTTCATAATGTACTATCCTTTTTGCATATATTACCGGATGGATCTGATTTGCTAATACTTTTTAAGGGAATTTTACTTCTATTACATGAAGAACACTGGTCTATGATTTTCTGGTGTATTGCTTTTAAATCAAGTTAAGTCTTGTTCATAATGTCAGAATTTCATAGTTGTCCAGAAAAGGTTGTGTATTACTGGCATAATTTTTTTCTCCAGTGTTTGATAGAAATCATCAGTGAAACCATCTGTGCCTGGAGTTTTCTTCGTGGAAAGGGTTTTAAACTACAAATTCAATTTATTTAATAGGTATTGGGGCTAGTCA